AGGCTGACCTGTCCAGAGAGCCGGTGGATGGGGTCCCTGCGCCCGGAGCGTGAGGCTGACCTGTCCAGAGAGCCGGTGGATGGGGTCCCTGCGCCTGGGGTGTGAGGCTGACCTGTCCAGTGAGTCGGGGGGGGGGTGATGCCCCTGCGCCTGGAGCGTGAGGCTGACCTGTCCAGAGAGTCGGGGTGGGGGAAGGTGGTCCCTGAGTCCGGAGTGCGAGGCTGACCTGTCCAGAGAGTTGCAGGGCGCGGGGGAGAGTCCCTGGAGCCGGAGTGTGAAGCTGACCTGTCCAGAGAGTCGTGGGGGAGTGGTTCCTGCCAAGTGTGAGGCTGACCTGCCCAGAGAGCCGGGTGAGGGAGGGTGTCCCTGGGCCCAGAGTGTGAGGCAGACCTGTCCAGGGAGTAAGGAGATGTGTGTGTGGGGGGCCTGGTGCCAGAGTGTGAGGCTGACCTGTCCAGAGTCCCTTGACCAGGTCTAAGGCCCTGGGCCCCAGGTCATTGTGGCATGGGGCTTGCAGGTGAGGGCATGTTCACAGCCTCCTCTGGAAATGGAGAGGGATCCCTGCCTTTCCAGGGCAAGGTTACAGAACTCTTCCCATTCCTGCCTGGCACTTCTCTGCTGCACCCCTCTCCCTGCTACCAGAGTGAGGAGAGAGAAACAGTGGGAGGAAGCACTGCTTGCAGCCATACTGTTCTTTGCTGATTTTGCTGGGTAACACCAAATATCACATAAATATATCACATCACAAAGCAGAAACTACCTCCTTTTTACAGATAGGACACTGAAGCATGCAGAGGACAAGTAATCGCAAGTGAGTGGAGGAGCCAGGATTCAGATGCGGAACTGGCTGATTCCCGAGTCCCTTCTGTACTGACTCTCATGTAATCCCCTCTACAACTGCTTGAGGTCAGTATCCTTAACCACTTCAGACAGTTGAAAAAGTGACTGTGAGAGGGTAAATAACCCCAAGGGTTGAGATCCCACAACCCCCACTGAGCAAGTTTCTGTTTCTCAAACTCTTTCTGATTGAAGAAACTTGGCTCAGAGTGGGCAAGGGACTTCTTTAAAACTATAGTTTGTCACAAAGCAAAATGGGTCTCTTGGTGGTTTTTTTTTTTTTTTTGTTTTTGGTCCAGTCTCTGTAAGCCACATGGACTCTTCGTTGTAACAGAGGTAATACTTCCCTTCCGGGGAGATGGCTTTTTCTAAGTGTTGTTAATGAATGGATGACTTTGAGAGAGAAGGAAGTTGTGTTCAGCCTGAAAACTCAGAGCAGAGAAGAACCCCACCTAAATTATAGGTGTCCCTGTGAGTGCCTGGATTGTGAGGGGATTTGGGGTGGGAGTGGGGGAGTGAGAACAGAGGGAGCTGAAGGGAGGAAAGAGTTTCTAGGCAGTAATTATTAGAGCTACGCAGCTTCTCAGTACCCCTGTCTCCTCTCCCAGCTCTGCCCTCTCAGGGTAAAGCCCTTCTCCTAATGAGGAACCAGGAAGAGGAGGAGGTGATGGGAGTTGAACTTCTTAAAGCCTCGTCCCTGGTGAGTTACTATTTCCTCTTTCCTTTTTTTTTTTTTTTTAAAGATTTTATTTATTTGAGAAAGAGAGCACATGAGAAGGGGGAGGGAGGGAGAAGCAGACTCCCCGCTGAGCAGGGAGCCCGATGCGGGATTCGATCCCAAGACTCCAGGATCATGACCTGAGCCAAAGGCAGTCGCTTAACCAGCTGAGCCCCCCCAGGCGCCCTCCCTTTTTCTTTCTTAAAATACAGTCTTGCTTTCCAGGATTTGGTAATGTTTGTTTCCTTCTGAAGTGTGTCTGCTTAAGAGTTCACCCTGGGGCCCATTTCCTCCCTTTCTGAGGAGTGATGGGGGCCATAGAGACAGACTCAGAAACCTAGTGCCCTCTCAAGAGTTTCCTTTTCTTCCTATAGCTGTTTAGTTTTCATTCAAGAAATGACCCACTCTGAGCTTTTCCATGTGCTGTTTTTTCATAAGTATATGACAACACAGAAATACAGTCCTTGGAGAAAATTTGAGAGCCATGATCTGCCTACTTCCTAAGTTGCCATCCTGGCTTTCATAGAGCTTATAATCTGTTGGAGAAATGAAAAGGCAGCGAACATTTATTTATACAATGTGATCAGTGCTGTAGGTATAGACTAGACTTCCTCCGGAGTAGTGAGGAAGGACCATTCATAGGCCATATGAATACATTTGGGTGAGTTAGAAAAAGGTGTCCGTTCCTCTGGAGTGGTGAAGCTCTGTGACAGGCCACAATCTAGCAAGAGGAAATCTACTTTATTTTTAGCTCCCTTTTGCCTCCTTGGTGAGAGATCCTTTTAATGGCATATAGCCTACACAGTCATGCTCCCTGTTAGAGGGAGGAGGGGTTGTTGGGAGGTGTGATTCCTGAGTTGTATCTTGAGGGAAGAGGAAGATATCTGCACGCGTGGGTGAGAAGGCCAGCATTTGAGCCAGCGTATGCATGACCTGGAATCATGAGCATCTGAAAATGCCAGGTAATGTTCTATATCCTTTTTTCTTTCTAGGGTGAATGCCATAATCTATTTAATCAGACCTTTGTTCCAAAGGTAAATTATTGCCAATGTTTTATTATTTAACTGAGATTATTGCAATGATCATCTTTGTTGTTGAATTTTTGCCCTCATCACTGATTATTTTCTTGGACTAAATTCTAATTTTTCATTTCTTGTGGATTAGAGTTTCTCAAGCTTTACTCCAGAACAGTTTTAATATTTTTACAACCAATAGTAGATTTAAGAACTGTAATTCATGTTCTGATTAAAGTGAACTGCTAAATGAGTGTCATCAGTGAATTTTATTGTAAGAAATTATAAAATTTGATTAATAAACTTAAAAAACCAAATAAAAAGTAACAGGATAGTAAAATTGTCTTTATTTTATATAAAAGACACAATGAGCAACTTATATCAAAGCAAAACACCTTTTCTGATCAGATACAATGCCACAAAACATGCACTACCAATGGAACTTGTTTCCTAAGCATTTAAACATTAGTAAGCAGTGTTGTTGTTTGCGAGAGGAAACTATTTTAGAGTGGCAGAGCATGGCATAAAGATTAATAACAGGACTCTGGCAGCAGACTTGCTGGGTACAATTCCTAGCTCCACTGTATACTAGATATATCACCTTAATTTCAGTTTTCTCAACCATAAAATGGGAATAATACCAGTAGCTAATTTATAGTACTGTTGTGAGCGTTAATGAGTTAATGCATTTTAAGTATTTAGAAAACTACCTGGCACGTAATAAGCACTGTATAAACGTTAGCTTTGTATGCTTCTATTTGCCTGTATAGCTACTGTTAGCCTATGTGCCCATGTAGTTCTTCATACAATATATGTCACACACATTATATACACAGTATATATATTTTCACACACATATATGTGAAAAACCTACAATATGATGTTTGATGCACAAGAAACCCTAAACATCAGGAGGCTTTTTATAGCCAATGGAATGTTAATTTTAAAACTAATAATAACTTACACTGAATTTGGGAGAGTCCTCGTTCTGGGTAAGATGGACTGAGCATACTTTACCCTGTCTTTCCCACTGAAAGTTGCTATAGAACCAGAACAGCATGCATGGAGCAGCAATCTGAGGTCTCTAAAAAGTAAATAGTAGCAGGCTGATTGGGGAAGAAACCCAAAATGTGATGTGTTTACCTTTTTTTCCCCCTCCCAGTATCTCGTACCATGGATTCAACAAAGCACAAAACCCAGAAGGGGGTTTTGTCATGGATAAAAAGAACTGCAGGAGAAAACCTAGTTCAGGCTCAAGAAGTAGGAAGGGGATCTAATGCTCAGAGAGGGTGGATGGAAATCTACCTTAAAAAAAAAAAAGTTCTCTGGGCACCTGGGTGACTCATTCATTAAGTGTCTGCCTTCAGCTCAGGTCATGATCCCAGGGTCCTGGGATCGAGCCCCGCATCAGGCTCCCTGAACTACTTCTCCCTCTCCCACTCCCCCTGCTGTGTTCCCTCTCTCGCTGTGTCTCTCTGTCAAATAAATAAATAAAATCTTAAAAAAAAAAAGTTCTCTGTTTTCTTGTGCCCGGAGACAGTAGCAGTGGGGTCTGCGGAAGTCTAAAACTCTGAAGGAGGAGGAGTTTTCTCTGTAATTGAAGAAGCTATGTTCCCCAGAGGGTGGAGTAAACTCTTACTGCCTTTTTTTTTTCTGCTTCTGTTCTTTCCTTGCTTGGCCCCAGGGGTGGGTACGGTCAGGGTAGCTGCACAGTAGAGTGGAATAAACAAGCCCCAGTTATCTGGCCAGAGGACTGAAAAGGGGATCCCCTAGGAAGTAGAAAACACTGGAGAGACCACAGAGAAGGAGGAGCTTTGGAAATCAGCCATTTGAAGTTGTTCATGAACTCCTGGGCTCACTCTAAGTTGCTCATGCATGTATCTGGCCCTGAAGAGCATACCACAGTCTATGAGAAGTGAAATCCAGGATAGATCTCTGGCCACCGAGTAGTACACAAGTAGGAAAGAGGTGAATGTCACTTCATAGGCTTTGGAAATGGAGCCCAAACAAAGTATCAACACTCTCCATATAATTTAAACAAGATATAGAGTTTCGTAACATCTAAAATGTCAAGGATACTACCTAAAATTACTCAGCTTATGGAAAATCAGGGAAATTTCAATTCACAGGGAAAAAGATAATCACCAGATACTAACATTGATGTGATGTATATGTTGGAATTATCTGACAAAGATTTTAAAGCAGCTATTATAAAAATGCTTGAACAAGTAAACACTTGTGAAGCAAATAGATTGTTTCAGCAAAGAAACAGAAAATATCAGTAAGAAATCAAAAATATAATTATGAAAATAAGCTCATTGGATGGGCTTAGTGGCATTATGGAGATGACAGTGGAAAGATAGATAAAAGATTGAAGAGAGCCTCAGGGCTCTGTGGGACAATAGCAAATGTTTAACGTTTGTATCATTTAAGTCCCAAAAAGGAGAAAGTGAAGTGTAGAAAAAATACTTGAAGAAATAATGGCTGAAAAATTCCCAACTTTAGTGAAAGACATAAACTTGTGGATCCATGAAGCTCAGCAAACTCCAGCATGATAAACTCAAAAGAAATCCTTGCTTGGGAGCTTTATAATCAGACTGCTGAAAACTACAGATAAGGGGAAAACTCTTGAAACCAGCCAGAGAAAAATGATGCTTAACATACAGGGCAGCAGTGATTTCAGTTCTGTGGATTTTCAATCAGAAATCATGGCAGTCAGAAGGAAGTAGAATAACTTAAAAAGCACTCAGAGGAAAGAACTGTCAACCCAGCATTATATGTCAAGCAAAAATTGCCTTCAAAATTGAAGGTGAAATAGTTTCTCATATGAAGGAAAACTAAGAAAATTCATTGACAGATTTCTAAAAGAATTGCAAAAGGAAGTTCTTCAGATAGAAATTATAAGAAGGGAACTGGAACATCAGGAATGAAGAAAGTACAACAGAAATGGTAAATATGTATGTGTAGATACAGTACGCTGTTCTTCTGAGTTATTTAAAATATCTCCAAAGGGGGTGCCTGGGTGGCTCAGTCTGTTAAGCGTCTGCCTTCGGCTCAGGTCATGATCCCAGGGTCCTGGGATCCAGCCCCATGTCCAGGGAGCCTGCTTCTCCCTCCCCCACTCCCCCTGCTTATGTTCCCTCTCTGGCTGTGTCTCTTTCTGTCAGATAAATAAAATCTTTAAAAAAAAAACTCTCCAAAGGTTGAAAGCAAAACTAGTATCTTCAGCTTACTGAACAGAACAGGATTTGAACATAGTCTGGCTTCAGGGACCATGTTCTTAACTACTATAGTATGTTGAAATTAGGTAAAATAAAACAAGTGAAACTTTTGTTGAAGTATTAAACCAAATATTTTCACCTGTGCTTGGCCTCGCCCTCCTATTCCTTCTTTCCTACCCCCCTTCGTTGTTGTCTTTGTTAACAATACTTGAGCACTTAGCCAGGTACCGTGACTGTTACCTCATTTGATTCGCACAGTGCAGCTGTGAGGTAGCTACCAAAATTATTCCCATTTTTTTGGTGTGGGGAAACAGGCATGTGCAGTTATTAACTTTGCCAAGATCACCTAGCTAGTCAGTGCCAGAGCCTGAATTCTTTGGCATAATCTGAGCTTTTTCTCTGGCTTTATTCACAACTGGTGTTTATTCAGAACTCATTCTTAAAGGTTGATATAAGTGAAATCACAAAGTAAGAAATGGAAAATCTGCCAGCAACCACAAAATGGATGACTGGTATCTCTTCCTGGTTGGTTAGGAAATTCAGCCCATATAACAAAACAGGTTGTGCTCATCTCATATGATCTCTTTTGGTACTTCTCAGCAGATTAGAAAAAAACAACTTTCCAAATGTGTTTTCCTAATGCAAATATATTTTTATGTGACAAGGAAAAAGTATTGCTAGGCATTTTTTTCTCTTTCATTTTTTAGACGTACCTCTTAACATCTCAGAATACTAAGATTTCTTAGAATATATTGTGGAGGTTGAAATCATGTTCATCAGGTCAGCATCCTTCCTTGAAACTTTCCCCCACAGTCCCAAAGGAATTAAAAGTGGTCTAGCTCCTAACATAGATAAAATATAGCTGACCTTTGAACAACATGGGGGTTGGGGGACTTTGATCCCTGCATAGTTGAAAATCCACATATAACTTTGTTCCCCCCAAACATAACTACTAATAGCCTACTGTTAACTAGAAGCCTTACTGATTAAAATATAAACAGTTGAGTAATATGTATTTTGTATTTTATGTGTATTATATGTTATATTCTTACAAGAAAGGAGCTAAAGAAAAGAAATTGTTAAAGTCATACGGAAGAGGAAATACAGTACTGTACTTATCTACTGAAAAAAATTCACATGTAAGTGGACTTGTGAAGTTCAAACCTGTGTTGTTCAAGGGTCAACTGCAATTTAGTACTTGATGTTCTGTCTTCAGTCAACATTTTTTCTTAATGAGAATATCTTCTCACCACTATAAAATTGTAAATGTTTGAAGAGCAGAGAGTGTCTCTCATATTTTTTCTTTTTCCTAATATGTATGATATAACTAGGCAGAAAAGTTGTCCAGTAGCTAAGTGTATGACCTGGATGATTTATACCCTGGTGTAATTACTTACCCACAGTGTTTGGTTTTTTCTAACCCCCAGAGTGTGAACAGCATAGCCCTTTACCCCTAGAGCCAGCTACGTAATGGCATGAAGATTTAGCAAGATTATTTTCGTGTCATTTCAGGATTCAGTGACTTTCACGGATGTGGCCATAGACTTCTCCCAAGACGAATGGGAATGGCTGAATCTTGCTCAAAGGACTTTGTATAAGAAAGTGATGCTAGAGAACTATAGGAACCTGCTTTCATTGGGTAAGAGTATCTTCCTCCTCCCCATTTTGGAGTCTGTTCACCTCAGTAGTCTTTTTTTAATGCCTTTATCAGCATTTCCCTACAATATCCCTTTTCTCTCAATACCATTTGGACTGGGTCATAGCTCTGCAATATCTACAATGTAGCCAATTTTCTTATCTTTTCTTATATGCAGGTCTTTGCATTTCTAAACCAGATGTGATTGCCTTATTGGAGCAAGGTAAAGAGCCTTGGATGATGAAAGGAGAGATGACAGGAGGCCTCTGCCCAGGTAAGTGCAGATAACTAGCGTTGGGGAAACTATTCTCAAGATGTTTCTTCTCTAAAAAAAAAAGAAAGAAAGAAAAGATGTTCCTTCTCTGATACTTGTTGGAAAACACCTCTCAAAATCCGTCTCAAATTGAAATTTTTTGTTCTAACACTATATTTTAAATAGATATTCTCCAGTGGTGTGACATGCCATTTTTACCTTTACTAATTTCCTGCAGATACCACGATCTGTTTGTGAACTCTTATTATGTTCTATGATGTTTACCTAGTTCTCAACTACCATATTGTATAATCATCTCTGATGTTCAATATTTCTGAATTCTTTAGACAAATTTATGTTTAGTTTTTTGAACTGGTTTAAATATTTTCTTTAAAATGTGAGCTTATCAGGTTAACAATTATTATAGTTATGCTCTTCCCTTTGCTTTTAATTATTTTTGTCTTTAGTGTTTCTGTTTTCTTACTGATTTTTGCTTTGTTGTTTATATCTGGGTTTTTTTCCCCTTCATATCATCCCACTCCTTGAATTGAAAAGGTTTTTAGTCCTACAAGTTGTTACCCTTATGTCTTGATATATTTTTAAATCTGTATTTTAAAATTCATCCACTTGGGGCACCTGGGTGGCTCAGTTGGTTAAGCGTCTGCCTTTGGCTCAGGTCATGATCCCAGGGTCCTGGGATTGAGCCCCGCATTGGGCTCCCTGCTCGGCAGGGAGCCTGCTTCTCCCTCTCCCTCTTCCTACATGTTCTGTCTCAAATAAAATAAAATGCATCCACTTGAGATTCAAAACATCATCATTTGATTCTCATATAAAAGATGAATAAATTAGGTAACTAACATTACCTCCTTTCTCTTTGTTCATTATCTCCCCACTTTTGTTGTACTCATTGGGATTTTGGCCCAGTTTTTTTTTTTTTTAATTAATTTATTTTTTCCCTGCCTTGCTTGAAAGCTGTTTTTCTGGTATGAAAGCTAGATAAGAGTTTATAGATTACATATTACAGTGGAATCAGCCTCAAGTAATTATCCCTCAAATCAGCCTCAAGTTACAGTTTATTCTGTAACTTGTAGTATGGATTTTTCCTGCTTTCAGTTCTCATAGGTTCAAGAAGAGGATGTTGGTAGGTCACTTATAGCCCTAATGGTATACATTAGTAAATAAGAAATAAGAAAAAATACAAATAAGCATCCGACTCAAGATATTAGAAAAAGAACAAAAAGAGTCTAAGGAAAACTAAAATAAGTTATGTATAGTGACTTACACTGCTGGAGATAAAAATAGGAATAAATGAACTAGAAAATAGTAGATTTAATGAAAATCAAATTGGTGCTTCTTTAGAAAACCAATAAAATATATAAACTGTCAAACATATAAACAAATGAGAGAGAACAAAAATAATAGTAACCATTGATGCATATTTAAAAGACTTATACATAAAAAAAGAATATGAATCTATTTTCCTCAATTTTCTGTAAATAATTTGAAAACCTGGATGAGATGGGTAATGTTTTAGGAGAATATAAATTACCACAGCTGATACCAGAAGAGATAGAAAATTTAAACAGACTGGTTACCATTGAAGAAATGTAGAAAGTTATCTTAGAACTGCCTCCCCCAAGAACAGAAGCAACAATGCCGAATAGTTTCACAAATAAATTCTGTAAAACCCGTAAGGAAAAATATCATCAATATTGTTTAAAATGTTCCATGACAAAATAAAAAAGAGAACTTTAAAAAACTGTGTTTATGAAGACAACATAACACTTGATGCCAAAATCTTACTGAAATAGCATCAAAAAAGGAAGATACAGACAAATCTCAATTATGAATATTGATACATAACTTTAAATAAAAAGTCATATTGAAATAATACACCAGAGGCCAGGAGGGTTTATTCCAAAAATGCAAAGATGGTTGCATTGCCTAACTTAATATAACAATTGTCAAAGACCTCTGTGGTGTTCAGTAACTGATTCACATGGTTTCACTTTGGAAGTTTCCATTCTTCTAGCCTTAAGTAAAGGAGACATTTGCTTTCTTAATATCTTTCAGACTTGGAATATATTTGGATGACCAAGGAATTATCTCCAAACCAGGGCATTTATGAAGAAAAATTATCCCAGGCAATGATAATGGAAAGTCTTCCAAGCTGTGACCTTAAATGTTCCACATTAGGGGTAAACTGGAAATGTGAAGACCTGTTTACAAGGGAGCTGATAAGTCAGAAGACACATTTTAGTCAAGAGACAGTCACTCATATAGACACCCTTATTGAGAAAAGAGACCGCTTTAACAAATCTGGGACAGTTTTTCATCTGAAAAGATTATCTTATCTAAAGCAGGTATTTCCCATCGAAGAGGGAATATATAATTTTGACACAGATAAGAAAAGTTTAAAAACACGTTCATTTGCTAAAAAACACAAGCAAGTCTATGGAGAAAAGAAACTTTTGAAATGTAATGACTGTGAGAAAACTTTCAGCAAAATCTCAACCCTTACTCTTCATCAAAGAATTCATACCGGAGAGAAACCCTATGAATGTATTGAATGTGGGAAAGCCTTTAGCCAGAGTGCCCACCTTGCTCAACATCAGAGAATACATACCGGAGAAAAACCGTTTGAATGTACTGAATGTGGGAAAGCCTTCAGTCAGAATGCTCATCTTATTCAACATCAGAGAGTTCATACTGGAGAAAAACCTTATCAATGTAAGCAGTGTAATAAAGCCTTCAGCCAGCTTGCACATCTTGCTCAACATCAGAGAGTTCATACTGGAGAGAAACCCTATGAATGTATTGAATGTGGGAAGGCTTTTAGTGATTGTTCATCCCTAGCTCATCATCGAAGGATTCACACTGGAAAAAGACCATATGAATGTATTGACTGTGGGAAAGCTTTCAGGCAGAATGCTTCTCTTATACGTCATCGGAGGTATTATCATACTGGAGAGAAACCATTTGATTGTATTGATTGTGGGAAGGCTTTCACTGATCACATAGGCCTTATTCAGCATAAGAGAATTCATACTGGAGAGAGACCTTACAAATGTAATGTGTGTGGGAAGGCTTTTAGCCATGGCTCGTCCCTGACTGTACATCAGAGAATTCATACAGGAGAGAAACCTTATGAGTGTAATATCTGTGAGAAAGCCTTTAGCCATCGTGGCTCACTTACTCTTCATCAAAGAGTTCATACTGGAGAGAAACCCTATGAATGTAAAGAATGTGGGAAAGCGTTTCGGCAGAGCACACACCTTGCTCATCATCAGAGAATTCATACTGGAGAGAAACCTTATGAATGTAAGGAATGCAGCAAAACTTTCAGCCAAAATGCACACCTTGCACAACATCAGAAAATACACACTGGAGAGAAACCTTATGAATGTAAGGAATGTGGTAAGGCCTTCAGCCAAATTGCACACCTTGTTCAACACCAGAGAGTTCATACTGGTGAGAAGCCTTATGAATGTATTGAATGTGGGAAGGCCTTTAGTGATGGTTCCTATCTTGTTCAACATCAGAGACTCCACACTGGCAAAAGACCATATGTGTGTCTTGAATGTGGAAAGGCATTCAGACAGAGAGCATCCCTGATTTGTCACCAGAGATGTCATACAGGCGAGAAACCGTATGAATGTAATGTGTGTGGGAAGGCCTTTAGCCATCGTAAATCCCTTACTCTACATCAAAGAATTCATACAGGAGAAAAACCTTATGAGTGTAAGGAATGTAGCAAAGCCTTCAGCCAGATTGCCCATCTTACACTTCATAAGAGAATTCATACTGGAGAAAGGCCCTATGAATGTAAAGAATGTGGGAGAGCCTTCAGGCAGAGTGTACATCTTGCTCATCATCAGCGAATTCATACTGGAGAGTCATCCTCAATTATACCCTCCTCCTCACCCCCATTCCACCAAGTCCTCTAGATTCAATCTTCTAAATGCCTCTAGGATCTGTCCACTTTTTTCCAGTCTATGTCCCATCATCATAGTCCAAGATGAACCCATCTCATTTTTATTTTTACCATAATGTTACAACCATTATCCCTCTTGCTCCCCTCTAGTGCATTTTTAACACTGTAGCCAGCTTAATCTTTTAAAAATAAAAATCTATTTTACTTTCCCATTGAAAACATCTTTAAGAATATGTTAGATCATCCATTTAAAGGGCTTAGCACACAACCCTTGACATATAATTAGTGCCATTAAGGGAAAGATTTCCTTGCTGTCATGTTCAGCTGCATGTAAAATCTAGTAGGTTAAGACTAAGAAACCTATACATTTTAGAGAAGACAAAGAACTCTCTGCTTTCCCAGGAGGTAGAAAAATGAACACATTCAGAATTGAAAGATTCTGTGATGAACAAGGTCACATGTTGGCTTACCACTCCCTCTGTATGACTAAATACAAGGACTTGTAGCATTGCTGGTGCGGGACTCTCACTTTGCCTGGCACTTAGAATAGGCCAGTTAGAACAAAGGCATTTGGTAGAATGTAGGATTAGCCAGATACTAAGAACAAACTAAAGTCAGCAAGCTAGAAAACTCGAATAGATAAATAGCCATGAAATAAACAGAAGAAGGTAGTTTAACACTTTGACCTGTAGAAAAGCACAGACAATTCCTGTGATGTTTGAATTCTTCTAGAGCATAAAATAAATACAGTAAAGCTGCCCATCTTACTCTGTGAAACTGACAAGACTGGTACCAAAACAAAAACATATGCTACAGTTAGCTTATGAATGTAGATCTTAAAACTTAAACTTACTTTTTAAATATTAAAAAGTAGAGTAAATAGAAAGCTAGACCTGACTTCGTATAGAAAGAGTCTGGCAAAGATATTTCTCCCTGTGTTAAATATGTAAATTTATCGATAATCCAATAAAAATCCCAATATATTTTTAAGTGGACGAGCTGATTCTGACCATCTATAGAATATAGAATTGTGCTATAGTAAGGAATGTAGTACTCACTCACTTAACATTAACTGAGCATTTACTAATGTGCCAGGCCGTGTTTTTAGGTGCCGGGGATACAGCAGAGTGCAAAATATGCAAGTTTTTGCCCCCACAGACCTAGTGGGAGAGGACAAAGTCGAAATACCTACTATGTGATAAGTATGCAATATGTACCATGATGAGAAATCATTGAAAGAAGGAGCTAGGGAGTGATGGCAAGAAGTGCCTTACTATTCCCAGAACATATGGGCATTAGAAGCAGGGAACTGTCATATAGAGTAGGCATCATGAGAATAGTCATTTAGTCCTAAGGTAGATAATTATGCTTTCAGTGTTGCAGGAAGAGAGAATTGAGTGTTTAAAAAGGATCATGAGAGTTCTCTTCACTCTTTATCAATAGTGATTTTGGGTCTGGTGGAGGGTTTTTTGTTTGTTTATGTTTTTTTTTGTAACAGCCTTACTGAGATATAATTCACATACCATACAGTCCACCCATTTAAAATACACAATTCAGTGACTTAGTATGTTCAGATTTGTGCAACCATTACCACATTTCATTACCTAAAAAAGAATACCCCCACCCCTGGAGGAGTACTCTTACTTGGAGCACACAGTGCTTTTGGGTTCTCTCTTTTGACGGTTACCTGTGGCAGCATAGTAGGCCATGTGAGGGGATCCCTTATCCAGAGGGCATGAGTGCTAGAAAATGGAGCTTTGGGGCTCTCTTTACTTTGGGATAGAGACTAGGGGATGGGTGGTCCTATTAGACTCCCTTTATGTGTGATAAAAAGGATTTTTCATTGCGGTGGGGGGAAGATGGATTAATCAAGTGGTGTTGGGACAATTAGCTCTATGGAAAGACAGGACTATACCTTGTACACTAATGAAGCTCTGAAAGATCAAAGATCTAAGTACAGTATTAAAATACAAGAAAAACAATATAATTTTGAGGCAGACCTTCTTAAGTATTACACATAACCCTGGAGCTGACGTTAAGATAACATTTATGTGTGGAAAATATCAAAGTCAAATATACAAATATGAGATTGAAAGAAAATGTTTGCAAACCAATATAACAAAGGATAATAATCCCTGATATTCAAAGCATTATTACAAATAAATAGTAACACCGGGAATTCAGTAGAAAAAAATGGACAAAGCTAATGGCCAGTTCAAAGAAGATGAAAAAACAGCTAATGGAAATGACCCAGTATCACTAGTAATCAAGGAAATGCAAAATAAAGTGATGTTAATCTACTTTTTTCCCCAGTGATTTTTAAATCATAGAAAAGTGATTATATCTAGTGACTGTGTCAAAAACAAGACAATTCCACTGTCGGTTATATAAATTGATGTGTGTATATACCGTTTGAATCATTATTCCTCAAAAACCAAAGTGTACAAAGGTAGGTAAATGTATAATGGCAAAAATAATTTTTAATGGTGAACTCAACTCTATTAGAAACTATTAGGGTATTGGGTAAATGGGTAAGTTAATTATGGTATATGCATTCAATAGAATTACATGCAGCTGTTGAAAAAAGAAGTATAAATGTGTATATAGCCATAGAAGGATAGTTGTATTATACTAAATGAAAAACATTTTCAGATCTGTGTTCTAATATAAACTCATAGTTGTAATATCAAAAATAAAACTTAAAATATGTATTTTTCTGTTTTTCTCTGCCCTGTTTTCCATGCCTCCTCCTTTTGAGTACACCATCTCTTCTTTTCCTTTGAGCAACTGACATACTGTACCATATGGCTTTGATGGTCTTGGCTAATCAGATTCTCTCTGGAGTTTGAGAGGCAGTTGGGTCTGTATCATCCAATGGCAGCTCCCTAAAGCGATGACACTGGTGTTCTCATGGCTGAGATCTTTGGGGTCACTCTAGTTTTTGTGCTTTCTAAGGCTGTACTTCTTCGAACTACCTGCTATTCTTCCAGTACTTCATTTTTTACCTACTTTGCTCATTTGCTTGCAGTTAAAGAAGCTTAACCAATACAGAGTTTGATATGAAGATTAGGTGATAGGCTGTAGAATCTTTGGAAAATTTGAGGTATTAGGGATTGGTTTTTAGGTGAGATGGAGCAAGTAAGACTGCCGTTCTTTTCAAGCCTAAGAAAGAGCTCATGGTGTGCACTGGGTAAACACAGAAGTAAATTACTATTTGTAGTCACCTGAAATGAGTAAAGGTCAGGATCCTGGATTATGGCAGTTTAAAGAGAAAGAGGAATGCTAAGTCCAAAGAATGTATATGATGCTGGTGGGGTCTTTGGAAGGTGACTAGGTCATGAGGGCAGAGTCCTCATGAATGGGATGCCAGCCCAGCTCACGGAGTAGAGGGGGCCACACCCCACCCTTGTGTCCTTCTGAAAACCAACTCCACACCTGGTGGCATGTGCACTGAGAGCCTGTAATATTGGTAATGTTGTCTGACAGTAGGTCCTCCCTCTCTCTCTACCTGAAAGTAGGATGTCCCCTATCTGGCATCTCTGATGCTCAGGGCATCCCCAAGCAGACAAATTGACTCTGATCTCCTCCTGCATTTTTTGGGCTAGGTCATTTGTGGATTATTCAAATAAAAATGAACCCCATCATGGAACCAGTACTCATGAGTTAGGAATGCATAAGACATCCTAAGGGATGGTCAGAGGTGCAGGGCACCTGGACCCACAGACCTGCCTGAGCATCACCAAAATCCCACTTGCTGGCTGGTATGGATCCTGATCCAGGGGCTCTGGAGGAAACAGAGGCTCAGCCTGCAGCCCCCACAGTTCCTCCCAGGCTCCCCTCTCCTGGGTCCATTTACCCTTCACACACACACACAAAGACAGCAACAGCAGTGGTATTTCTGCATTGAAGGAACCAGGTACCTCCCTTGGTACCATCTGGTTCCCAGAGCTTCTCCTTCAGGGAAGAGGAAAGGCAGACAGTGTTAGCCCCCAGCTGTTAGCCTTTGGGTGAGGTCGGGATGGTGACTGTGCCCAGAAGAGGAACTTAAGACCCCTTAGGGCTTGGTCAGCTCTGGAAGAGCCTCTAGCCCCACCTCCCTAGGTGCCTTAGTTTGGGAGGGCTGTCATAATGAAATGCCACAGACTGGGTGACTTAACTACAGAAATGTGTTTTCTTACAGTTCTGTAAAATTGAGGTGTGGGCAGGGTAGGTTTCTTCTGAGGCTTCTCTCCTTGGCTTGTAGATGGCCACCTCTCTCTGTCTTCATGTGGTCATCCCTCTGTGCTGTGCCCTAACCTCTTCTTATCTCGTAAATTGCTGGTAGGGGTGTAAGATGGCACAGTTATTTTGGGAAACAGTGTGGCAGTTTGTTTAAATAAGAAAAAACTAAAAATACAAATACCGTATGACCTAGAAATTGGATCCCTGGGCATTTATCACAGAGAAATAGAGATTTATGTTCACACAAAACCTGTCATAAGGAAACAACAGTGAAAGGGCAGTCTATGGAATGGGAGAATATTTGCAAACCAAATATCTGATAAGGGTTAATATCCAAAATATATGTGATTTTACCACAATGAAAAGAAAAAAAAAATACACAAAAAACACCTGGAATAGCCCCAAAGTGGGAACATCCCAGATGTGATACCCAAATTGTGGTATGTCAATACCATGAGATAGAATTTGGCAATAAAGTAATAAACTGATATGTATAACAACTTGGATAAATCTCAAGAATTATGCTGAATGGGAAATAAAAAGCCTATTGTATAACATTTTTGAAAACAAAATTATGGATGCAGAGAACAAATTATCGATGGGGTTACGGAAGGATGAGGTCTGGAGGAAAAATGGGTGTGTGGTTATGAAAGAGCCATGTGGAGGAACCTAGTGGTGATGGAAATATTCTGTATCTTGGCA